ATCATGTAGTCATCCATGAGGTACTTGTAATTCCGGAATAGGCAGGAATGTGCAGGAATGAGCAGGAATGTGCAGCAATGAGCAGGAATTCCTGCATATCCTAGTGATTCCGGACGTGCACAAATTCCGGAATTCCGCTTTGCATTTATTCAAGCTCGATAAATGATCATTTTGCCATGCATGAGTTGTTTGTAATTTCGGAATAGGCAGGAATGGCCAGGAATTCCTGCATCTCCTAGAGATGCCGAATGTGCACAAATTGCGGAATGCACAAATTCAGAAGGCGATGCAGGAATGTGTAACTTTGCGGAATAGGATGACTGCTCAAGAAATGACCAAGATTTTGAACGAATAAGTTTTATGTAAAATGTCTGATGTCATGAAGGGTGTGGGATATGAGTGTGAGTGTGAGCAGAAAACGTAATCACCACACACTCACACTCCCACACACCCAGACCCAGACCCAGACCCGCACACTCACCCACCCACACCCTGGTTATTTTAATTATTAATATATTATCTTGTTATGATACCGTGCGAGGATCTTAAAAACACTTTTGCAGATTTCCTTAAGATATATTTTAATTTGTAAAGTTCTACGAACTGAATACTTTCCTTTCGATAAGATTTTTATATGAGATGTGATGCATAGATTCTATAGTATATGAAAGTAACATCATTTATATAATGAATGTCAATCGAAATTTAACTTTTCAAGAATCATTCTATCCTTCAAATGAATCATTACTTACTAAGAATATTAATTTCAACATTATAACATATTTGATCTTATTTTGAGCATACTGTACAATTAACAGTATTAACCATAAGTCTAATAAATTCATCATAGACTTTATCATCTAATTTCCATATTGATCGTTCATTACCATCAATTGGACATACATTATATAAACAACATGGAATAGAAAATGCTGGTTTACTTTCAAATTCTATAGGTAATTCATAAATATTATTTATTAAAATGCGTTCTTTATGACCAATATCAACAAAATAAACACAGACGTTTGATAAATTAGCTTCAGCATCTTTTTCAGAAAAACACAACAGAGAATTACAAAACAAACGTTTCTTTTTTATCATACCTAATATAATAGCACGATGCCATAAAGTACGACTATCTTGTAAAGCAATTGCTTGATATTTCACCAATGATGATAATCTCTGAAGATTTTGCATCGATTTTTGTAAATCAATTTGAAACTATTAAAATAAAATTTTATTATTTACACTTGTATGAAAATTCAATTTTCCTTTTAGATAAACATAAAAACGAGTTGGACTTATATAAAAAAGCATACAAATTTCATTTCGTTGAGTAGAATCTAATATTTTCATCGGAATATCTTTAGGAAAAGAGAAAAAAATAATAAATATATCAATTTTAATAAATATACGTTCATAAACATAATGATCATTCCTTTTGATACTGTTCTGTTTAATAGAAAAATAAATTTGAAAATCTAATAAAATTTAAAGTTTTATTATACCAAAATCTTTATTTACTCTTTTCGTTGATCCTTTTACACTTATTTCAACTTCTGATATTTGTCTTATTCCACTATAATTAGGTAATCGTGCATAAAGATTTGGCCTATTTAATTGTGCATGAAATTTATCAATAACGTTTGATAGCCAGCCATTTATTGGTCTAATTATATTTGATAATGTACAGTGATGAGCCAGACGGTATATTTGAAACATCCACGTCTAATAAACAAAATAATTATGCACAACAGCATAATCAATTTTTCGTCAACAATTAACCTTTCATGGCCGAAGAAATTATACACGAATACGTTGTACGTCACCATAATCTATTCAAAAGATTGTTGCAAAACCATTTGAATCTAATTGACAAACTATATCACGATCCGAATCTTTATCATTTATTGCCCACCTCCAATAAAACGGCGTCATAAATGGCCTGAAACGGCTATAAAGCGGTGACTAACGACGTAAAAAGTCGATAAACGGCGCCATAATCTTTCATATCAGACTACGGAAGCAAAACCGGGAAAACACGACGGCCATCTTCTAGCGATAGAAACTGCTCGTAATACGGTATGACGGATTACGGCGCAATAAGACCAAAATTAATGCAATAATTCTCCGTTTTATAGCCGTTTCCGACGGCCGGAATGATGCACAATAATCACTAACGTGAAGTATTTCATTTAATTGTGCAGATGTTTTATTAATAAAACAAATTATATTTATTTAAAAAAAATAAATATATTACATACGTTGATTCTTTCGAAAATGCTTCAGTAAATTGTGAAGCAAAATTAAAAATTTTCTTGTACGACTCTGATGTATATAAATAAAAGTCTATAAAGAAAAATTATTTTAATTAAACGAATATTTATTAGAGAAATAGTAGTAAACTATTTAAATCATTAATATGACCAGGAAAAGCTCGCGCCTCTGTACCAATAACAAAATTTGAAGGGCGAATAGCATCAACATTATTAATTGCCATTGCTATATAGTAAAATGAATATACACGATAATAGCTAGGGATGTGCAGTTTCAGTTTACTGATCACCGACACAGTATCCACTGGAACACTGACACACTAACTACTTTTGATTGACTAAAATTTGTACACAGAGTACTTTACCATTACTGTAAAAAAGACCTAGAATAATAAACCTTACAAAAGGGTTTATAGCCACCTAAATTCTTCGTCAAATTCTCATAAACTCTAGGATTTATGAAAGTGAGTTGTACTGAAAAAGAGTTCATGAGAATTTGGCTAAGAGTTTAGGTGGCTAAAAGACCTTTTTGTAGGGTTTATTATTCTGCACCTTTTTACAGTAATAGTAAAGTACTTTGTATATACATTTTAGTCAATCAAAAGTAGTTAGTGTGTCAGTGTACGGTGATGTGAATTCATCAGTGTTATCAGTGAACGTCAGTGTCAGTAACACCGATAACAGTGTTGCCAGTGTTCCAGTGGATACTGCATCGGTGACCCTGACGTCAGTATTTTAGTACTTACACTGACATTACACATCCCTAATAATAGCTCATTCTTTAATCGAAAATATTTGTAACAAATTAAAATTCAAAAGGGTAAAAGAAACATCAGTATGAAGAACAGAAAACAACCTATTTGAAATTATTCACTAAATCGTTTGTTTTCATTTCTTATTCTTTTTATCGATCTGTCTTTCTAATACATAATTCAACAAATAACAAAAATTATATATTATTTGCAGGAGTCGCTTCAATAATGGTTTTACCTAAGAAAAACAATCAAATAAATATTCAGAACAATACTTATATTTTTCTGAATACTTAAGAAATCATAAGGTTATACACATAACTGGAAAATTTCAGTGTGAAATCTATTTTTCTATTAGTAAAATCTTTGTTTCGTATCTTCACATCTCAACGCTCCATCGATTCTATTAGCAACTTTTTTTTGTTTGAAGTTCTCTGCTTTGTATTTTTTTTCAATTCCGAACTAGTTTTTCCTACCGCATAATAGAATACAAGTTGATTGAAAGATATTATTTAAAACAATTTAGTTTCAAGGCACAATTATATTTTGATTCATTTTTTTTATCAATAGCATCTTATTCGGTTTCTTCGCTCTTATATATCCTAAAAATACTCATATTTTTAAATAAAATAACATTCATTCACTATGTTAATATTTTTATTCCGCAAAAATCAATTTTATTTAAAATAACAATTGACAATCATATAAATCATGATCGAATATCTGTATGAAAAAAATAGTCTCTGACATGTTTTTCAAGTTGAGTATTATATTTACTATAGCAATAAATTATTTTTGAACAATTGAGTCGTGTTGCATCTCGCATAAAATTGTCTGTCACTTTTTCAAGTAGTTTACGACTGACAAAAAGAAATAGATTATTTATTAAGCATGTTTTTGTAGGAAATAAAAATTCTTCAAGATAATCTTCGTCATCTTTAAAAAAAGCGAAGTTCAGTAAGATGATAGTAATTAATAATTGATAAATTTTCATCATAATTTTTTGATTTTCTACGTCTTTTATTTATTTGTGCTTTATGATTAGTTATAGTTAACTTTTTCATAAACTAAAATGATTTTTGAATTTGAAAAAAAAATTCATGTTGAAATGAATGTTCATCAAATAATGATACTTGATAAACACATTTAAATAATCCATCTGGAAAATTATTTGTTATTTTATTATAACATTTCCATTGATATGGATATGAATAAATATGACATTGATTATATCTGCTTTAATTAAAATCATCAAGACAAGAAATTATTTTATTATATTTAAAATCTTTGAACGATTGTTGAATATCTTCATTTGATGACAAATTAGTTTGATTATAACAACTATTGAATGATCTAATATTAAATCTAAATCAGTTTAATCATAACAGATTATTAATAATATTTGTCTTTAAATCATTACCATCAATAAATGTTTTTCTAGTAATAACGTTCAGGTACAAATGAAGTTTTTCTAAATTTGACATTCGATGTAAAACTGATACAACGAAATCATTATATAATTCTGTATCTATCTCACAATACAACGAAAAGCATCTTAAATTAGGAAATTTTTCCTAAAAAATTCAATAATATTTGTTCATCTCCATCAAAGATATTATTCAAAATAAAATAGTTTATTATTGATTGTTTCATAGGGTACATAAATGAGTGTTATATAAACATAAAGTGTATGAAGTTGATTGAATCGTCCATCAAGTAAATAAAGACAATCAATAAAAAGAGGCATACCTATATGGAATTCTGATAGAGTTGAAAAGAAAACAGTTAGAGGTGAAGTATCAAATGATAATTGTTGACATTCAGTTAAAGATGGATCGAAAGTTAAATATCATAAATTGGTAAACATAACACACATATGTGTGAATATAAGTCGAATAATTTCTCTTGAATTTGCTTCATCACTTTCAGTAATATCGATAACAAGTGATGGAATTTGATTTTTAAATCTATAAATTAAAGTTTCATCTAAACATACATTGAAAACTATATTTAATATAACTTCGATTATAACATAGATTGTTTTAGACTTTTCCAATTTATTTTTCAACATACAAATCTAATCTTCTACTAGATTTTCTCATTATTTATTCAATGGTATCAATGACATATTTCTAGCAATTAAATAAAACTATCTTATCAGTAAAGAGATATTTAACTTTTTGCATTTTAAGACCATATAAATTCGAGTCATTTCCAGAAAGAAGAATTGTATTCATAGTTAATGGTTCAAGATTTAGCCATTGAATGTTACGATCAATTTCAGGTCAAATTTGTGAACAAAATCAATGAAACATTGAATAAGGTAATGAGCAAATGCGACCATCTCCAGAACAGTCCATCAACGTTAACACACTAGGAAATATTGAAACATGTTAAATTTTATTTAATCGTTTATTAACATCTATTAAAGAGTAAAATGCTTCGACATTGTGCAGTTGTTTATAAATAATCATAAGGATTTCATCAGGTAGATCGGTTAATTGAACACATAAATATTACATTTTCATATTTTTCTTTTTCTATACTGTTTTTAACTTATAAATGTCAATATATATATATCGGGTGTTGCAAAAGTTTTGCGATATATTTTCTTTTGCATATATCTCGACTTGATAAACTGATAAAATCTTGATTCTTTTTTCAAAACATGCACCGTGAAAAACTCTACAAAAACTGGATAAATAAATCCTTATTAACTATTTCTGATAGTTTTCCCAAGCTGAATATGAACAACCTCTGTGGTAGTGCTGTGTTCCTACATTAGTAAAAATTTTTGGAAGACTTTTTTGTTTAGCAGTAGGATTTTTTAGAGAACTTGTGTAGAGCTTTCAACGGTGCATCTTTCAAAAAAGAATCAAGATTTTATCAGTTTATCAAGTCGAGATATATGCAAAACTTTTTGAATGGCCGATATTCTAAAATAAATTATTTAAAGGTTGTATCTAATGTTGAACATGTGTTGCATATATTGACCAGCGATATCTGTTAATGAAAATAGAGTAAATATATTTCGACATTGATCTTGAAATGTCATATCAGATCGATTTCTTCTATCATTCAATTGAAATGCATTTAATAAAAATGTTGTTATACTACGAATTGATAGACTATCTAGAGAAAAAAAAGAACAGATGAAATCTTGTTTATTTTTCAATCTTTTTATTATTGTTTTGCATTAGTTTCGAAAATATTTTCTTTGGTTAAATTATTTGTTATTTGTTGATATTGATGATTAGATTGATTTGGTGAATTAATTCAAGGGTAAAAATGATAGCCACATTTTTTTAGATTGCCTTTTTTATAAACAATTAGCAAAATTATATAGATTCAATATAATCAGGTATTATATCTCAATGTTCGAATAAATCAACTGGAAATAATGATAAACAATAATAATTTAAACAAAATTTTAATTTATTTATATGTTGATAATCTTATTTCCAAAATAATCTTTGTATAGACGTGTAAAATGAATTAAATATTGGTTAACAAAATAATAACATTGCTATACAACCTAAATCATCTGATAAAAATATGGTCTATATTTTATTTTATTTTTGTTAAATAATAAAGATGATCAAGATTATTAAATGATAAAAGTAATAATTATGTAAATGGTCAATTATATGGTTCAATTAAATTTAAATATGATTCTAATAATAGATTTTATTATTTATTTTATAGAATTAAACAATGTCGTTGATAAACATATTCAAATATTGATAGTATAGTTTTTTCAACTAAGAAAAGACTTTTTTCAAATATATTTATATAAATGATTTTCGATATAAATATTATAAAACATTATAAATCATCTGTATTATCTAATGAGGATTGTCATGTTAATTCAATATGATTTTCTATTCTATAAAAATAAATTTATATAGAAACTATTAATGCAATTAAATATAGTTGATTATTAGAACACAATAAAAGAGTTTTTATATAAATTCTATAAAATGTTGTTTCAATTTTATTGAAATTTATTTCATTTGATATTAGTCGTTGTCTTCCTAATCAAAAACATAGATAATTGATTTTGTTAAATAAATAGATCTATTCATCCACGGCATAATGATGGAATATTAATACCAAGAACAAGACAATGAGCCATTGATAATCATACGAAGTCCTTAGAAGAAAAAAAAACATTAGATTTTTTCTTATTTTATCAAGTCAATATTCATTTCTATGATAATCCTCCTAAAAATTTTATGCTATGGAATAAAAAACTAGTGTCTTGAACATGGGATGCAATGGTGATAACGGTGCGGTTATCTAAACATGTATGTCTATATACGAGAGATGTTTTAAAGAAACTATCGTGATAGCAGTAAGTTTCTAGCGATGATAAACATCTCTAATTTAGACTAATGGTGAACGTATGATTAAAATAGGATAGTCTAGAATTGATTTAGATTTTTTTTTCATTGGAGAGGCCATTCTGAGGA